TTAACCTTAACATCACGTGGAGCTTTCCTAGCACTGTTCAATTACCTCCCCTGAGTAATATGAACTATAACAACGTCAGACAATGTCCTTGGAAACACGATTTACCGTAATATATAGAGGCTGGAACAAGTTTGTCATGTTGGCGGGGACTAGTTCATGAACTATATTGTTGAGTGCCATAATTTCGTTGACTTTTTTCCGCCAAGTGACCCTTGAAAACATCATATACTAGTAGAATTTTTTGTGCCTCCGGCAGACCAAGGAGAACCTTTCCATCGTTAACTTACGACACAATCAAGTTCTCAAAGTTGTCATATTCTGGACAAAAAGTTCGAAATGGACAAATTTTTGAAAAAATTTCAACGGACTTTAACTTGGACGGACATTAATTGAACGGACTTTATTTGAACGGACATTAAGATGAACGCTAGGGCCTCCAGCGTTCAAGTAATGTCCGTCCAAATAAGGTCCGATAAGGTAATTCAAAAGTCACTATTGATTGCAATTAACTAATTAACCAATTAACAATTAACCAAGATGCGAGGAATCTTGCGCACGTTTATACCTTGAACCCAGATGTTAGGAATCTTGTCGATTAAACTTGAGATTACCATGCCCTGTGGGAGCCTCATTAAGTCCGTAACTGTTTAATTGCGGTGTCGTGTCACCTAATTGTACCCAATTGACAGATCGTTAACGAGCTATTCACAAATTGCTTCGTGTTCAAACTTGCAACTTGCATGTTTGACTTTTTAATGCGGGGCAACATGGGAATCTCCCTTCATATCGTACATTAGGCAAATTATTGTATTGTTTTAGCATAGTTTTATTTGCTCTGTAAGTTGGGATTTTTGAATAATTGGCTGTAGTTTGATTATGCAGGCGCGATATAAATTGAATAAGCTCGTTTTTAAGAGGGGAAACTAACCCAACCTGACGTTGTAACTGTCAAATTATAGACTTTAATAAAGGCGAGCAGGTCATAACGTCAAGACGAAGGGACTGTACACTTTCCTTGTATTGCACAGGTGCAGCTATAACTCATTTGGCCGACTTATTGCCTATACACACAACTTCTCATTCATTATCCCTGGGCCTGTACCTGAAAGAGAATAGGCTCCATATCAGACTTGAGAGTGTTTAGTTAAGGTGGTTCTCGATCACCCTGTGAAGGGGGAGGAGGGAGGAGGGGGGAGGAGGGGGGGGGGGGGGGGAGGTAGCAGCTGCAGAAACAAATCGTTTCAGAGGGATCCAGTGAGCCAACCACTGCACACTGCCCCATGTACATTCGTAACCGTAATATTATCGAAATCAATTATATATAATTCCTAAAAGTATCACGAACTTGATACATGACTGTCCAGTGTCCTAGTCAGCATTTATTCACCCTGACCAAGGGTGATTTTCAAAATATTGAGTTTTTGAAGGGTTATTTTTATATAGGGTCATTGTGACATTATGTGTATACTGTTTGAAACATTTTATATATAAAATAAAGTATTTATTCACCCTCGATAAACGGTCGTGAATATTTTTATGTGCTTTCTGCTTTAGAGTACACTTTACAGCTTCAACCATTAGCCATCTTAATCAATTGTTCCCATAATCGGTCAACTTTTTAATTATCTGAATGATCTTACAATCTCTCGACTCTCATCATCTTTTCTATAAATTAGCTACAAGAACTATAATTAGCGGCAACTGATAATGCTCTGGTGCGTTAAAAAATGTAGCTATCCAACTTAGACTTTATAAGTCACATGAGTTATCATTTGCCTTTCTTAAACTGAGCACAATTACACTATTATACCGCGACATGTTTCAGAGAGCAACTCGTTTATACACAAACTAGAACATAAATTCCACTGATGTTTTCGGAACAACATCACAACATGTCGTTTCAGAACAACATCGCAACATGTCGTTTCAGAACAACATCGTAAGTCGTAACATGTCGTTTTAGAACAACATCGTAACATGTCGTTTCAGAACAACATCACAACATGTCTTTTCAGAACAACATCGCAACAATATGTCGTTTCAGAACAACATCGTAACATGTCGTTTCAGAAAAACATCGTAACATGTCGTTTCAGAACAACATCACAACATCGCAAAATATAGTTTCAGAAAAACATCGCAACATGTCGTTTCAGAACAACATCACAACATGTCGTTTCAGAACAACATCACAACTTGTCGTTTCACAATTCCACTCTCACCCACCCTATGTTCTCTCTCTCGCACACTACCTAGAATCTATATAATAGTAAAGACTAATAACCAGCGGTGGAACACGTGCGCGCTGTTTCATATACACAATATAGCAATATATATATATAGCAATATATAGCAATATGTCTCACCTCTCCCGCTCATAATCCTAGTCGCATCAAGTTTCTCAATTCATCAGGTCCCGCTTTACAGGGTCATGACATGGTGTGTTGTCAGTGTATTAGTCAGACGTTGGGGACTTATCAGTTATTGTTTGGTAATCAGTGATTATAGTTAGTTATTTGTGGTTGTTTATTTGTTTGTTGGATATTATTCGTTCGGTAATTATCCTCTAATTATACGTTATCAGATGTTACGTTGTACAGTTGTTGTTACTGGCGCTAGGATCTGCATAGATGCGTAGATTTCCAATAACTAATAATGTCGCCAAACTATCATTATCTTTCTCGAGCCAACTTTTTTGTTATTCGTACGTTATTTCAAGGAAAACGTATGGGCACATTTTATAGTAAACAACGAGACATGATTTCCACGTTTTACGAGCAGAAACTCACAAATTTCCTCTAATTTGAAGGAAACTTCATCTTAATTTTGAACGCCATCTCTGTTCACTAGCGATTACTACGTAGGACTAATGTTACTAGACTAGTGACCTGCAAGCTCCGTCTTAGTTTTACTCGAGCATCGCTAATTGAAGAAACGGTCATTCGTTCAAACCATACCTAGATTGTTCTCTCAGTTTGTATAACTTACCAGTGATTAGTGAACCTTGTAGCACCGGAGACTGTGTGGAAATAGACACTCCTCCCGCCAAATTGCTAATTATCTCACACCGGCCCCACAAAAGTTGCTCTCTCTTGAAACACACTTATAGCGCTAAATGTGGAACAACGGAGGCTGTAATGAGACGTATGAAAAAAGGTCACCCTAGTTGTGGGACAGTTGTGGGTATCTTCTCATCAGTGATTTAATATTTGTGGGTCTTTCGTCATCACAGTAACGTCATGCGTACATTCCAAGGGTACTGTGTCTAGTAAAGCGATGATCTCGCGGAACATTTTCACATACATATTATAATCAATCAGGGGCTAATTAGGCAATTATTGTCCTTATATGGCTTAAAAGATCTAATTAAGGAGCTGAAAATTGAGGGAAATTTGATTCTTCTACATCGTTTAACGGGCCCAATTAAGCTACGTTTGTACAATAGTGTACAATAGTATCGTACCATACTCTGTCCCTATTCAGTCTTTGTAGTCTCGTCGTTAGTCTACTATCTATTGTTCAAGATATTTCGTAGAAGTTAAGTTCTCTAATCGCATAGTTTGTGTAATAATGCGCACGGTTATGTGGTCTTTTCTGTGTTCTCTCTGTTTTCTCTCTGTTTTTTCTGTTTTCTCTCTCATTTCTTTCTCATTTCTCTCTCATTTCTCTCTCATTTCAGTGTTCTCTCTTTTTTCTTTCTGTTATCTAGTTATCTATCTGTTTCCAGTGTTCTTTCTGTTTTCTCTCTGTTTTCTCCTTCTTTTTTCTCTCTTTGCAGTGTTCTCTCTGTTTTCTTTCTGTTATTCCTCTCTCATTTTTGTTTTTTCTCTGTTTTATTTGTGTTTTCAGTGTTTTCTCTATTTTCTCGATCTCTTTTCAGTGTTCTCTCTCTATTTTCTCTCTCTTTTCAGTGTTCTCTCTCTATTTTCTCTCTCTTTGCAGTGTTCTCTCTAGTGTGCCGTTTATAACTGCATACTCAGAACGTGATAATTAGACTGTCCAGGAGCACGTGATAATGCTTTTATTCCAGTGTAATTTGAATATTTGCCGATAATCCAGTCGGAGAGCTTGTTTAATTCACACTTACAACTTACATTCGATGAGTGATAATAATTCTGTTGCGGGATGAGATAATTCATTTTCTAAATTACAATACCGGAGTTTCACCATACAGGAACATTACGCAGGGTAATCCGAGCTGCGGCATGAGGGTACGAGGAGGAGCAATATATCACATTCCTCAGCACACAACTCTCTATCATAATGTAAAGTCCGGAACAAAGAAATTATGTAATGTCGTAACTAGTATATTCACAGTCAAGTGGGGTGACTAATACTCACGGTGCAGGAGTTTCCTCCAGGAATGTTGTTTGTTTCCAACAGCCCTCCCTTTCTTGTTAAACACACTGAAATATTCTCCAGTCTCCACTCACAACCTCATTAGACTTTGGTTAATCAACTTTGAGGGGAGTGTTTAGACGATGTTCAAAGGATCAATATATGGTCAGTGTAACAAATAGCGTTACCCCCTTATGTCGCGGTGTAATGTTTGTAGATCATGGCTTTCTTTGTGGTATCGTATGATATTTTCTTGCTGTTGTTGTTGTTACAGTGAGGGAAGCGCAAAGTAAATCCGTTTTTCACGACTGATTTAAAATCTCTCTACTCTTATTCCTCTATGTCAAAGCCTTCTTTTTTCCCCAAAGCCTTATTTTTTTGAAATCCGGCTTGTCGCAAGAATCTCTAATTCAAAGTATTTCAGTTTCTTCTGTAATCCACCGACGTCATGCAATCCCCCATTAGTTCCCTGTCATGAGGGGCTTATCTTACCTTATCGGGTATCACGTGAGCAGACATTACGAGGACGGACATAAACAAGGAAGCAATGAAGCTGACTACAGTTGACCGTTTAACTGTGTTATAACCTTATCGCAATTTAATTCAGATAAAATGCGGACATTAAATGAACGGACATTAACTTTAAGTAAGCGGACATAATTATGAGCGCTAAATCCTCCAGCGCTAAACCCTCCAGAGCTAAACCTTCCAGCGCTAAACCCTCCAGCGCTAAACCCTCCAGAGCTAAACCCTCCAGAGCTAAACCCTCCAGAGCTAAACCCTCCAGAGCTAAACCTTCCAGCGCTAAACCCTCCAGAGCTAAACCTTCCAGAGCTAAACCCTCCAGAGCTAAACCCTCCAGAGCTAAACCTTCCAGCGCTAAACCCTCCAGAGCTAAACCCTCCAGAGCTAAACCTTCCAGCGCTAAACCCTCCAGCGCTAAACCCTCCAGAGCTAAACCCTCCAGCGCTAAACCCTCCAGAGCTAAACCCTCCAGAGCTAAACATTCCAGCGCTAAACATTCCAGCGCTAAATCCTCCAGCGCTAAACCCTCCAGAGCTAAACCTTCCAGCGCTAAATCCTCCAGAGCTAAACCCTCCAGCGCTAAACCCTCCAGAGCTAAACCCTCCAGAGCTAAACCCTCCAGAGCTAAACCCTCCAGAGCTAAACCCTCCAGAGCTAAACCCTCCAGAGCTAAACCCTCCAGAGCTAAACCCTCCAGAGCTAAACCCTCCAGAGCTAAACCCTCCAGAGCTAAACCCTCCAGAGCTAAACCCTCCAGAGCTAAACCCTCCAGAGCTAAACCCTCCAGAGCTAAACCCTCCAGAGCTAAACCCTCCAGAGCTAAACCCTCCAGAGCTAAACCTTCCAGAGCTAAACCCTCCAGAGCTAAACCCTCCAGAGCTAAACCCTCCAGAGCTAAACCCTCCAGAGCTAAACCCTCCAGAGCTAAACCTTCCAGAGCTAAACCCTCCAGAGCTAAACCTCCAGAGCTAAACCCTCCAGCGCTAAACCCTCCAGAGCTAAACCCTCCAGAGCTAAACCCTCCAGAGCTAAACCCTCCAGAGCTAAACCCTCCAGAGCTAAACCCTCCAGAGCTAAACCCTCCAGAGCTAAACCCTCCAGAGCTAAACCCTCCAGAGCTAAACCCTCCAGCGCTAAACCCTCCAGAGCTAAACCCTCCAGAGCTAAACCCTCCAGAGCTAAACCCTGATCCAGAGCTAAACCCTCCAGAGCTAAACCCTCCAGAGCTAAACCCTCCAGAGCTAAACCTTCCAGCGCTAAACCCTCCAGAGCTAAACCCTCCAGAGCTAAACCCTCCAGAGCTAAACCCTCCAGAGCTAAACCCTCCAGAGCTAAACCCTCCAGAGCTAAACCCTCCAGAGCTAAACCCTCCAGAGCTAAACCCTCCAGAGCTAAACCCTCCAGAGCTAAACCTTCCAGAGCTAAACCCTCCAGAGCTAAACCCTCCAGAGCTAAACCCTCCAGAGCTAAACCCTCCAGCGCTAAACCCTCCAGCGCTAAACCCTCCAGAGCTAAACCCTCCAGAGCTAAACCCTCCAGAGCTAAACCCTCCAGAGCTAAACCCTCCAGAGCTAAACCCTCCAGAGCTAAACCCTCCAGAGCTAAACCCTCCAGAGCTAAACCCTCCAGAGCTAAACCCTCCAGAGCTAAACCCTCCAGAGCTAAACCCTCCAGAGCTAAACCCTCCAGAGCTAAACCCTCCAGAGCTAAACCCTCCAGAGCTAAACCCTCCAGAGCTAAACCCTCCAGAGCTAAACCCTCCAGAGCTAAACCCTCCAGAGCTAAACCCTCCAGAGCTAAACCCTCCAGAGCTAAACCCTCCAGAGCTAAACCCTCCAGAGCTAAACCCTCCAGAGCTAAACCCTCCAGAGCTAAACCCTCCAGAGCTAAACCCTCCAGAGCTAAACCCTCCAGAGCTAAACCCTCCAGAGCTAAACCCTCCAGAGCTAAACCCTCCAGAGCTAAACCCTCCAGAGCTAAACCCTCCAGAGCTAAACCCTCCAGAGCTAAACCCTCCAGAGCTAAACCCTCCAGAGCTAAACCCTCCAGAGCTAAACCCTCCAGAGCTAAACCCTCCAGAGCTAAACCCTCCAGAGCTAAACCCTCCAGAGCTAAACCCTCCAGAGCTAAACCCTCCAGAGCTAAACCCTCCAGAGCTAAACCCTCCAGAGCTAAACCCTCCAGAGCTAAACCCTCCAGCGCTAAACCCTCCAGAGCTAAACCCTCCAGAGCTAAACCCTCCAGAGCTAAACCCTCCAGAGCTAAACCCTCCAGAGCTAAACCCTCCAGAGCTAAACCCTCCAGAGCTAAACCCTCCAGAGCTAAACCCTCCAGCGCTAAACCCTCCAGAGCTAAACCCTCCAGAGCTAAACCCTCCAGAGCTAAACCCTCCAGAGCTAAACCCTCCAGAGCTAAACCCTCCAGAGCTAAACCCTCCAGAGCTAAACCCTCCAGAGCTAAACCCTCCAGAGCTAAACCCTCCAGAGCTAAACCCTCCAGAGCTAAACCCTCCAGAGCTAAACCCTCCAGAGCTAAACCCTCCAGAGCTAAACCCTCCAGAGCTAAACCCTCCAGAGCTAAACCCTCCAGAGCTAAACCCTCCAGAGCTAAACCCTCCAGAGCTAAACCCTCCAGAGCTAAACCCTCCAGAGCTAAACCCTCCAGAGCTAAACCCTCCAGAGCTAAACCCTCCAGAGCTAAACCCTCCAGAGCTAAACCCTCCAGAGCTAAACCCTCCAGAGCTAAACCCTCCAGAGCTAAACCCTCCAGAGCTAAACCCTCCAGAGCTAAACCTCCAGAGCTAAACCCTCCAGAGCTAAACCCTCCAGAGCTAAACCCTCCAGAGCTAAACCCTCCAGAGCTAAACCCTCCAGAGCTAAACCCTCCAGAGCTAAACCTTCCAGAGCTAAACCCTCCAGCGCTAAACCCTCCAGATTTATCGATTGGTAATGAATTTTGACTCGTGATTACATATTATTAATCTGCACGTTAATGTTTTTAAATCTAATCGATAGAAAACTGATTTCTTTGAGAACACATACCACGAATTGTTTTACATTGGCTTAGCTGCTTAGTGCTAACAACGTCACCCTTTTGGGACAATGTAAGCCGCTATATAGCCACAATAGATCGTGTGTGTTTATACATTGTCTTTCAATCTCTATCAACTCATGATGGTGCCATGCTTTTAATTAATCCTTCTATGGGTGGTTATCCATTATACCTTAAGTACCTAAGGCATTCAGAACCATTAGAAGTCCGAGATTTTTCGATCTTTTTGGGCAACTTATCGTTGGGCCTGCTAAATCTTTTACCCTTCACTCTTTTACTCACTAGACACTTAGTATAACACATTGAATGTTTGTGTTCTTGATCTTTATTTTATTACGCTTCATACAAGTAATTTAAATGTACTAGTCTGTTATCTTCACCTAACCATGTGCTTTCGCGCCACTGCAAGCGCAAGGGCTCTGGATCGATAGAGCAATCTGTTATCCTCTCTAACCTAACACTACCACAGCAAGACAATGACCAGTATGTTACTTCCCCTCATCTGCAGTGTGCTGATAAGTCACGTGATGGCCGAAACCCGCTGCAGACAGACCTGTCAGACTTTGACCGTGAAGGAAGGAACAGAAAGTACCGGAGCTATAGCACTGATCAACCCCATTACCGGTAATTAAACTCATAACACACCGTCTTTAAGATATTTTTAACACAATTGTTTTTGATAAAACTGATGGTTCTTTTGCGATAGTGTAAACGCGACAACTAGCGCTGGATGGCGACAACTAGCGCTGGATATTGCTAGTTGTCGCCATCCAGCGCTAGTTGTCGCGTTTAAACTATCGCAAAAGAACCAAACTGACATTAATATTTCAAGAAATAACCGTTATTATTTCAAAAGTATAAAATTTTGTTAATTAGACAGTGCAAGTTGAAGCGTCTTTAAATTATTTACTATTCTTATTGTATTGTATATATATGGTTCTAACCGTATGATAAAATTAAATTCCTTACTTAGTTTTTAATGTTTCAGCTGATTGTGACACTGCAGAGATCGTAGTATGCGGGGCAAATGAGCATTGTTACAATACTCGTAGGGATTTCAGGTGAGAGGAAGCTAGCAAAATTAGTGTAGATGGGTACTATACGATTTACTTTACTTTTCTCAACCCCCATTTTCCCACCTCTTTCAACACCTCATCTTTGTTTGTAACCCCTTATTTTCTAACTCCTTGCTTTACCACCCCATTGATTTTATAACCGCTGTAATCTTTACTATCACAGAGCTGTGACAGTGGACGAATCTATGTTAGACGATGAAAGTATATTCAATGAAATAGGCTGTCAGGAAGAAGTAACGGTAATGACCTGCGAAATGTGGGAACAAGTGTACCCCATGGATATGGGAACTATCGCAATTCAAATGGACGCGTGTAAGTCATAGTGTCAGGTTGTGTAGATGATTATTGATTACGTTACTTTTTTAGACCTGATAATTGTCTAGTTTGTTAAGCGAAAGTTCTAGTTACATCTAAAAAATAAAAGTAGTGCTATAATAACAGTTTCTGGGTTGTACCATGTTACAAGCTGTACTACGGAATTTTTTCTATTCATTACTGGTGCCATGATCATATCAGCTAAAATTACCGTGGTAAAACAAACTCAGGTGCCATTTACAAAAACGAAGATATTCCTCAATCGGTTGTAAAGCTACCAGAACCTACACAAGCTCCTAAACCAATCACAGAACCTAAAGCAGAACCTGAAACTGAAACTGAAACTGAGACTGAGACTGAAACTGAAACTGAACCTGAAACTGAAACCGAAACTGAAACTGAACCTGAAACTGAGCCAGCAGGTAAGACATGAAAGTGGCGCGAACTTGTAATTTAGTAATTAAACCACGCTATTGCAGTTCGAGTTTCTCCAAAAACAGTTCGAATTATGTAAGCTTTCATTTTTATTTGACGAAAAGCTAGTAACTATATGGACAGTGCAGAACTGTCGATATTACAGTCGGAGAGATAAATTTAATAAATTGATTTTCAGAACCTATCAAGTGTAATGTATGTATGGACGTAGTGTCGGTTGATGCTGAAGGGGTTGAGGCTCCAGTAGGTTGGTGGATTAAGATCTTTAATCAGTTTCCGAATGGACTTTTATATAACTGTTTTTAAATGTTTAATTCTTAGATAAATGTTATACTTATTATAGAGAAACGTAATCGATGAAATGTTATTCATACAACATCAATTGATCCTGGCTCTCGACGAAACGCTTTGAATTTAGTCAGTGATCCACATTTCTACAACAACAAAAAGATTTTTATTTATCATCTATAGTCAAAAATTCCCAACATTCCACTAATGCATCTCTCCATTCTCAGCTGAAGACGGGATTGCTTCCTGTTCAGATTCAAGTGTTGTGACTTGTCCGGCTGAAGTAACTGAATGTGCTTCAGTCACCTTAACATATGCTGATGCGTAAGTGGATCAACTGATTTCTTTATATTTTGCACGTGTCATCCCTCAGGCCTCAAGGTGACCACGTGTCATCCCTCAAGGTGACCACGTGTCATCCCTCAAGGTGACCACGTGTCATCCCTCAATAGGTGACCACGTGTCATCCCTCAAGGTGACCACGTGTCATCCCTCAAGGTGACCACCGCGTGTCATCCCTCAAGGTGACCACGTGTCATCCCTCAAGGTGACCACGTGTTATCCCTCAAGGTGACCACGTGTCATCCCTCAAGGTGACCACGTGTCATCCCTCAAGGTGACCACGTGTCATCCCTCAAGGTGACCACGTGTCGTCCTCTGGGTAAAAAACGAGAGGAGCTCTAAAGCTCTAATGTATACATATGTTTACGTAGTATTTATTGTATGCCTTGTCAGTCAAGCCTTAATGAGCAATAAACGTGTTAAACGTACGTGAGAATACGACAAAAAGGATATTAGAAGGATGGTCTAGGCAAAATAATTTCTAAAGGTGCACTCAAAATGTCTCACTAAAGATTACTTTTTATTGGTATAAATAGTATATAATCATATACTGTTTAGCATATTTGGTGGGAACCGGCCCAAAGTACCAGCCATGAATGTTTACTCAAAAATATACAGGGTGGGCCAAAAGTCAGTACCCATACGTTGGCCTTTATAGCTCAGTCACTGATTGCCCAATTTAAATACTTCTTTCTGGTATGACTTACTACCACCACTGGTTCGAGGAATTTGTCAACTCGAAAAATATTCGCGTTCATTTTTTTCAAATGGAGGTTCATTTTCACATTTATTTGATAGTTTGGATAGTCAGATCAAGCTAAATGTTATTGAATTGTGTTTGGCCATTCGAATTACGTCTGTCCTGAAAGAATTAGAACTGTGCTTCTCAGATGACCGAGATATGAAGCATAACGAGTTTATTCATTACGTGTGATCAGGTGATTGGTTTACCTAATCACGTGATAAGGTGACCCCGTTAACTACCCCGTTAAACATGGGAATTGTTAAGGGTGCCCAATTAAGGTGTCGTGTCACGGTGTCACATAATCACCCAGTCAATTTTGTTAACGAGATACAGAAAATGCTTGATAACTTCGTCATTTCTAATCTGTTTTGCCTCATGTTTTCAGATCATATGCAACATTTGATAATTTACCGTCTCTGAAAAAATTAGGCGTTCAGCATGTCTAGAGAAAACAATATAGGTGTTTTAATATTGAATGGGCGCGGTCTAAAATATTCGAATTTTCAAATTTTGACGACGGAATCCTCGAACCAGTAAGTAAAGTATGCCATCTGCAAAGCAACATCTCTCAAATATAAAACACGGCGGAGCTATTAAGGCCAACGTATGGGTACTGACTTTTGGCCCACCCTGTATATAATAAGAATTATCTATTAAAAGTCAAAAACTCACACATGATTATATATTGTTGAAACTATTAAAATAGACCTTATTAAACAAGCATAGCTGAGCACAGTTAAAGTTGCCTTTAGGATTGACGTTGTAAAGTTGAAATTATTATATTAATGCACTTTCTGAGTTGTAAGAGTGGAAACAGGCGCATAGCTACAGCTAGCTAGCTAGCTATTTCAAAATTTTGTTTTTACGACTGTTATCAGTCGCATAGCAACTCATATTAAAATAAGCTTTATGAAACCAACCTTACATTTAACCTGCATTTCAGAGATGGACTCAACTACAGAAGAACTCACAAACTTTGCCAAGAAGCAACCTTGACTTGCGACACACTGGGAGCTTCTCTTGAGGGCTACTCAGTTACCGACTGTAAGTTTACAGTACACAATACTGTACAAAAAGTTTTAGGGCTATCGAAGTTGCTTCCACTTCCTTTTTTAATAAACAATTCGATTGTATATTTGTTTGAGATATTATGAATCGAAATTTCGAAAACATTAGGTTCATGGCTTTTTCAAGTTTTAGTGTTAGCTATTGTGATAACTAATGATAAACAAGAAGTGAAAGATACTGCAGATTAACCGGACAATATTCGGAAAGTGATCGATCTAGTGTATGCTTAAAGTAATTTTAATTTCATCCTGCTAGGTGATGTGGCGAGCACTCCAGTTGTCGTGGAATCACGTGATAATAATACTGGTGAGAACATTTAGAACTTTTGTAACTTTTATTTTAGAATTAGATAGATACATGATTGTTATATTGTAGCGCGATGCACTATACTGCCACTGGGTCGTGCATCAAACAATGCTTTCGCCACCACTCTCAGTCTCTGGTGGCGAGAGAATTACCTTATCGGACTTTATTTGAACGGACATTAAAATTGGACGCTGGAGGCCCTAGCGTTCATTTAAATGTCCGTTTAAATGAAGTCCGATAAGTCAATTTAATTACATGCTGATCATGAATACAGTACGTAGAACGTTTCAGAAAAAATAAACGATTAATAGTTAACTATTATGGTAATGGAGTTAATTAATAATCAATTTCAGAAGGAGAAGTTGACGAAAACTACATCGTTGATGAGAACGAAATTGAAGAGGGTGCAGTGGAAGGAAGCTCAGCTGTAACCATAAATCTATCACCTATCTTCTTTTTAATTACATTCACACAGCTCTGGTAGAATAGCTTTATTGTGATATCTAGTGAAAATCTAGCGGATTGAAAGCTTACCTACATTGCATGCGGAGGCTCCTGCAGTAAATAGAGTGACCAGTGGTTGAACCACCTGATAATAGAGCTAAGAAGACGATAGGTGATATAACGTGAAGCACTGTGTGAACCAGTGATATTACGGATTCTGAAGCACGGGAATTAAGATGTTCGATACAATGTAGGAAGTTCGAGTTGTACTCGTTGTCGATGTTTTCGGGTGCATTTATTGTTTTAATTTGTGCACATATTTTCCAGTACTTTTCTTGTGTTAAGTATTTTAAATCTTTATTAAACATTGATAAAATATTGCATCGGGGTGTGCGTAGTATGTTACATATGTTACATATGTAACATTGTTACATTGACAATTTTGTGTTATCTTTGGTAACATTTGTGAATGTGATTCTTTTGTAGAGACATTTCGTGCAGAAAGTCGTAACTATATAATATACTTAATACTTATTAATATTAGCTTAACTTATAACAGACTTATCAAACTAAAAATATCACGAACCTTACTCAACACTCAACAGTTTTACCTTTTTAACAATTTTATAACTCTAATTATAAGTAGATCTGAATATTAATGATTATGATTTAGAACTGAAAAATTAAAATTGAAGACCTGATTTCCTTGTTTCTACTTGCTAAATGTTATAATATGACGATCTTGATCAATATTAAACCATCAATTACTACAAATCATTTTCATGATCATGATATTGTTAAAATCAATTTGACTAAACGCTTACCTCACTGACTGTTGAGGTTAAAAGGCAAATTTATTGATCGTTTGTGTATTTTTTGGTAATTTTATATTTATCGAATGTCATTTATTCTTTTACATTGGATTCTGAAAACAAATGTTTGGTTTTATTTCTATCAGCATGAAAATCATTTATTTTGTCATAAATCCATGTGGAAACATGTTTGGTTTTCAAGTTGCAATTCGGGAAAAACTACCTTATCGGTCATAATTATCAAATTCAATATCAAACGTGTAAAATCCGGATTGGAGTATTATTTATGAGTCGCATTGTTGTAATGTATACTGGGTAAAATTATCTTTATCCCGGTTGTTGCGACAAGTAAAAATGCTCTTATTAGGGAAAGGAGATTACTCGACGTTTCAATGTAACTACATCGTATTCATGATCTAAAAACAAGTGTTAAAAATTCAAAACGTAAAAAACATATATCTGAGGCAAAATTTGTGTACGTTAATTTATTTTTATTAATGACCACTCAACTGGTAGATAGCTCCAATCAATTGTGGAAGAAAGTATGGACACAGCGAGGGCTCGATGATGATTATTTCAGACAAATCAGAGTTCCGGATCATGTTTCTCTTCCAGTCTTATATGTACTTATCAAGACTCACAAGAATTCTCCAGAATGTTTCAGAAACACCATCCCTCTGGAACAGGTGAAAGTACGACCCATTATCAGCTGTGTTGACTCACCCACAGAGAGATTGAGCTGGCTGGTGACAACCATCCTCAAACCATTACTGAAGGAAATACCCAGTCACCTTGGTAATCTCTTTGAACATCTGGAAACTCTTCGTGCAATTCCGAAAGAACAGCTAGCTGGCAGGAGAATCTTCTCGGCGGACATTTCAGCACTTTATACCAACATAAATGTCCAAGGTTGTATTGATGACGTTATAGAACTGGCCACTGAGCACCGGGAAAAACTTGATCTCATGGGACTGAACCTGACTGATGTTCACGAGATCCTATTGCACATCCTGACTAGTTCATACTTTGTGTATAATGGGACTCTGTGGATACAGCAGGATGGCCTTTTCATGGGATTGAGACCGGGACCATTTTGCGCAGTGATCAGAGTGTACAAGTTTGAGAGAAGCTCGGTTTACACTGACTTACATTACTTGTCGGTCTACTTATCTGACTTCTACAAGCGGTACATTGACGACGCCACCAGCACAGCTGTAACAAGAGAAGAAGCTCTAGTACTTGTTCAGAGTATCGCAGACCAGGACCCTGACAAGAAACTCAAGTGGGAGGTAGAGTTTCCGGAGAACGACCAAGAGTTCATCCCATTCCTTAACACAGAGCTTAGAGTGGAACCTGATGGAACTGTGACGAGCCGCTTGTACCGTAAGCCACAGCAGAAAGACATCACACTTCACAAGAATTCATGTCACCCAGAATCTGTGAAGACGAACACCGTGATCAACCTGTATAAAGAAGCGGACAAGATCTCGTCAGGACCTCAGGAGAGAGAACATTCATACAGCATTTTAGACCGTCTTATGACTAGAAACGGGTATCAAACACCCAGAAATTATTCCAACAGACGTCGTAGTAGTATTAGTAATAGAAATAGGGAGGATAACAGAACAGTGCTTAAGTTAGATTTTATCTCAGACAGTATCAGTAACAGAATTAGGAATCATATTAAACAGAACAATTTACCTATTAAAGTTATATTTTCCCCAGCTAGAAAACTAAGAAATATTGTGTGTAATAACAGACCGTATGATAAGAGAACCTGTATTATTAACTCCTGTAAAATTTGTCCTTTATTAATAACTGAAAATAAAGATTGTGAGGTGAAGAACGTTGTGTATAAGATTACCTGTAAAATCTGTAATAATATTTATATTGGTGAGACGTGCAGGAGGGCACATGATAGGCTCGGAGAGCACCTAAGATATGCTAAATTTCCTTTAACTCCTTCTAACACTAGTCAAGCTTTTGCTATTCATTATAACAGTTTACATAGGGGGTCAGAACCCAATTTAGAATTTGAGATTTTAAAAACAGAAAGCAACACAGCTAGAAGAAAGATTGCAGAAGCAATGCTTATTTTGAAGTTCAAACCTAACATTAACAAGAGAGATGAGTTAGAAACAATCAAACGTTTTTTAGTAACAAGTACATAATAAACAGGGTGTAACATATTGTATACTTTACAGACAGGGGATTGTCTACACATATGTAGTGATTTTTAGTGATATTTATAGGTTTTGTTTACTTTCTGAGTACAGGGACCACATCTCACACACGCACACTTCCGCCTCCTATTCAACACACTACCCTTACAACATCAATCAAACCATATTAGGCTCCCACGTTTCACACTTCTCATTGGTCAGTACGATTCCCGCCATTTTCACTCCACACTAGATACATACCTACACACTTCACATCATGCACCTGTTCACCGTTGTAGCACTCCATGCTTCTGTATCATGTGTAGTATATTTAGTAGTAGTTTTAGGAATGTACAGTATTTACTATAAAAGTTTGTCGTCGTATAAATTAGTTTTGTTATGAATTTTGTTATGACTTTTTTTGTATCGAATTTTTGGATAAAGTTGATTGATTAAAAATAAATTAACGTACACAAATTTTGCCTCAGATATATGTTTTTTACGTTTTGAATTTTTAACACTTGTTTTTAGATCATGAATACGATGTAGTTACATTGAAACGTCGAGTAATCTCCTTTCCCTAATAAGAGCATTTTTACTTGTCGCAACAACCGGGATAAAGATAATTTTACCCAGAATACATCAATATCAAACATCAAGGACATTACTTGCACGCTGAAGACCTTTGCGTGAATAATTATGTCCGTGAAAATAATGTCTAGGTGGCATTAAGGTCCATGAATAATAATGTCCGGTAATTATTTCCATTAATTTTAGTGTGTGTGTCCCTTAGCAGGCTTGTGTCAATGAAACAATTAAAGACATTTTTTTATAGTTTGATTTTGAGGGGGGCAGCGCAGGTAACTAAAACTAACTGCTAACGAGTAACGGGGCAAGAAATGTGCGTGCTTGAAAGCTTTTGCACACACCCAAAGGCCGGGCCTTTTCACAAGAATTTTCTTAAAATTTGGGCGAGCGATTTAGTAGGACTAGGAGCGACCGTACTCAGACTCCTCACCAATAACGTTAACTAGACTGGGGAATGGGGATCGGAGTGGGGTGGGTCCATTTTATACTTAGCGTTTCTATACCATCGCGCGGGCGACCAAGTACGTATAAGTATAACTATAACCGTCACGGGCCACGGCGCCACCCTCGATAGACTTTGTCATAAGCTGCTGATGTCTTATTTTAACGATCCCTCGCCTCGTACACATTATACATTACGATAATATTATTATCAGTACATAATTTTATACATATAGTAACATTGAACATGCAGGGGACTCTGTTGTTTATTTTTGTAATTTGTAAAATGATCGTTGATGGACTACCACTACCAGTACCAATTCGTTTTTACACGGAATTTCCCTGTAAAAAGCGACGTCAAATGATCATTTGATATGTTTGGTATTGTTAGCATAGCTAAGATTAAGGGAAGATTGCATGTTGCCGGATAAATCTACAAATCAAAACATATTTTTGCAGTTAAATCTGAAGTGTTTAAAAGGAATTAACAAAAAATCAGCAAATTTACAAATGATGGTTTTTATGGTAGAAATTAGCTATAATACGACACGCCAATATAACAAACACTTTACATAACGGCAAACCCAACAGGAATATTTATTGTACACACGGCCAGATGGAATTTCTTATTGTGGAGTATCTTAATCAATTTTGAACACATTTTGCAATTCTTGCCCAAAATATCCGTTAGTGGGGTCACGTTAATTCCAACAAACGGTGATATGATATCCAACTAATTCTGCAGTCAACCTTGTAAACCAGACCAGCTAAATCCCGGACCAGCTAAATTCCAGAAATCGTTCGCATTCCAAAAACGTTGAGCAGTCAAACGTTTCTATAGGTCTAGCTTCCTATCCCAAATGGAGGACTCAAATATGGTAACAAAGAACGTATTTACTTATGACGTCGACCTTAAAGAACAATTCCTACTTAAAATCAAAATTGCTTTTAAATTTAACTTCCCAAAATTACAATCAGTTTTATGAATGAGAAAAAAATTACATTTAATTAAAAAAATTTGTAGGGCTATAAATGATAAAGCAGCACAGTACCTCAAAATCAAATAAATGACATATTCTTCAAGCACATTTTCTTTCGATCATAAAGATCGTGATTCTTAAGGGATGACATCTTGAAAAAAATAAGACTTAAGTATAACTTGATAAATATTACACATAACCACAAATTATTGGTTCAAAACTCAAATCATACGTTAACTGGCGGTGTGAGTCATTTCAGCGACAATAAATGCCAATTATAATTGACATTAATACCAATTTATTATTTATACGCGTACAAACTTGGTGTTTATATCAGACAAAGATTACACAATAATAAAGATCAGATTATATTATTACATGAAACTTATTTTTCATTAAATTAATAAGATCTCGTGGATATAAAACTCACTTTTACATATTATGAGGCCATGGATTAATTCAAATACCTTGATATAAGATGACGGTTACTAAAATTAGTGTATAGGTGAAATTTGTTATTTCGCCTCATTTCAAATTTCGTGTAATAAAAAAAAAAATCAATAACTCAAGCCCGAATGTTAATATTATTTGATACTAGCTCCATTGCCCCCGACCTCTCATTACATTAAATCACGGACACCCAAAAATCACAATTCCCACTATTCAGCCAAGGTCACAGAATTTCAGAATTCCTGAAGAAAAAAAAACAGAAATCACTAAGATCAGTCTCGTCCTCATCTTAATGTAAGTCGATTTGAGGCGAAAATATCAAAATCATCAAATTGTTGCTGAGAAGATCCTTCCGACATTACGGCGCTTGAAAATGGGTTTGTGTGCGCGAATGAGTTGTTGCCATGGTAACCTGAGTTGTTGCCATGGTAACCAGGGTTGTTGGCGAGGTGAGAAGGTTCGACTGTTGGTGGTTTGAAGTTGTCTTCGAACTGCATACTCTAGAAAAGTATATTTATTTAGTTATTATACATGTATATGTATACAGTATATTATATATATGTAATAAGATACCCAGCGATCTATACAATAGGTATATAATAAAATTAATCTTGCTGTTGTTGGAGAAGGAGTTACGAGGAAATGAGGAAAGGGTGATTTATAAGAAAGATAATCTCACTTTAAAAGTGGGATGTAGAGGATCAAACTCGTCCAGGCTGTCAGTCCCTGGTAACTGAGTAGCTGCTCTCCTCCTTTGTTCCTGCTGAGTACCCACTTTGTCCTCACCTGAAATACAAGATATTACCACATGACGGGTCACGTGGTTGAAAACAGTTGGGCCGTTGCGTTTTAAAACATCATAATTTATTGTATTAGCGTGACGACGAAAGCACCCGCTTAAAAAAATTTATTAGTCTTTGGTTTTATTTTCGGTTGTGCAAAGGAACAGTAACGTTTGCTGGCAAAGCATGCAGATATATCATAATGAAATTAAAAAAAACAACAAATTGTTAATTTACTAAATCAATGAAAGTTCCAACTCACTCGGATCGAATAATAAAATGTCAGCCAAGTCTGCAGTGAAGTTATTTTCTGGATTAAATTCGTCGCCAAAGGGGTTCGTTTGTGCCCTCTGAATGGGAAAATAAGCGTTAATTAATAAGTAATAAGTCGATAAGAATGAATGATCGTCCTCCTGTGGATAATAGGGAGGCAGTGGGTAACATTTTGTTAAATTTTCTTAAAACAGCTTAATGCCTGTTCCCGATTCAAACTATAATTGAGAAGTGACAAGTTAGAACTGACCTGAAGTATAGCAGACTGAGTTGGGGGAGTGGATATTCCGATGGTAGTAGCGGAGCGGTCACGGCTGAAGTCCGGTATAGGTACTGTTATCTCTGAAGTTAATTATTAATTATTGTCTCCCTAATTAATTAGTAATTAATTAGGTGATTAAATGATTATGTGAACTAGATGTGTGTTTGTGCTTTGATTTTCTTATTGCAGTTGGATTTGCTGTTTCTCAGCCTCGTCAGAATAAATCGTGCTTCAGATTTTGTTATTCATCAAAGCAGTGTTTCTTAAACTACAAATTATCACAATTTACAATTTAACGTTGAATATAGCGATGATGTTAGGTAATTTCTGCAGGTATAACGTTACGAGAAAACGGTGAATATTTGAGTCAGCTATATAAGGAACCTATATAATGAACCTATATAAGGAACCTATATATAAGGAACCTATATAAGGAACCTATATAAGGAACCTATACAAGGAACCTATATAAGGAACCTATATAAGGAACCTATATAAGGAACCTATACAAGGAACCTATATAAGGAACCTATACAAGGAATCTATATAAGGAACCTATATAAGGAACCTATATAAGGAACCTATACAAGGAACCTATATAAGGAACCTATTCAAGGAACCTATATAAGGAACCTATATAAGGAACCTATATAAGGATTAAGGAACCTATATATAAGGAACCTATATAAGGAACCTATATAAGGAACCTATACAAGGAACCTATATAAGGAACCTATATAAGGAACCTATACAAGGAACCTATACAAAGAACCTATATAAGGAACCTATATAATGAACCTATATAAGGAACCTATACAAGGAACCTATATAAGGAACCTATACAAGGAACCTATACAAGGAACCTATATAAGGAACCTATATAAGGAACCTATAGAATGAACCTATATAAGGAACCTATGTAAGGAACCTATATAAGGAACCTATACAAGGAACCTATACAAAGAACCTATATAAGGAACCTATATAAGGAACCTATATAAGGAACCTATATAAGGAACCTATATAAGGAACCTATACAAGGAACCTATATAAGGAACCTATACAAGGAACCTATACAAGGAACCTATATAAGGAACCTATATAAGGAACCTATGTAAGGAACCTATATAAGGAACCTATGCAAGGAACCTATATAAGGAACCTATATAAGGAACCTATATAAGGAACCTATATAAGGAACCTATATAAGGAACCTATATAAGGAACCTATATAAGGAACCTATATAAGGAACCTATATAAGGAACCTATATAAGGAACCTATATAAGGAACCTATATAAGGAACCTATACAAGGAACCTATATAAGGAACCTATATAAGGAACCTATACAAGGAACCTATACAAGGAACCTATACAAGGAACCTATACAAGGAACCTATACAAGGAACCTATACAAGGAACCTATATAAGGAACCTATACAAGGAACCTATACAAGGAACCTATACAAGGAACCTATACAAGGAACCTATATAAGGAACCTATATAAGGAACCTATATAAGGAACCTATATAAGGAACCTATATAAGGAACCTATATAAGGAACCTATATAATGAACCTATATAAGGAACCTATATAAGGAACCTATATAAGGAACCTATATAAGGAACCTATATAAGGAACCTATATAAGGAACCTCTATAAGGAACCTATATAAGGAACCTATATAAGGAACCTATATAAGGAACCTATATAAGGAACCTATATAAGGAACCTATATAAGGAACCTATGTAAGGAACCTATATAAGAAACCTATATAAGGAACCTATATAATGAACCTATATAAGGAACCTATATAAGGAACCTATATAAGGAACCTATACAAGGAACCTATATAAGGAACCTATATAAGGAACCTATAGAATGAACCTATGTAAGGAACCTATATAAGGAACCTATACAAGGAACCTATACAAAGAACCTATATAAGGAACCTATGTAAGGAACCTATGTAAGGAACCTATATAAGGAACCTATATAAGAAACCTTTAGGTGGGAGACGTTTGATAGTAGTGATATTAGCAGTGGTGTTAGCTTTCATCATTGGAGGATGTTTTGTTGGGGTACCCTTGGCTGGCAAGGTTGATGGACTGTTTTCTATTGAGCTCCCTTTAGACTGAAAATAAGTGAAATTATCGACCTAAGACAAATAGTTATAAGGTATTCAAATTGGAATTGAAACTATCATTGTTTCTTACTGTTTCAGTTGAATTACATAAGACCCAACGATTGATCTCAACACACAAGGTTAAGTAAGATATAATATATAATGTACCATGAACCTATTGAACCTATTGATGTATTCTGTGTAAAATTATCTTTATCCCGGTTACTGCGACAAGTAAAATGCTCTTATTAGGAAAAGGAGTTTACTCGACGTTTCAATGTAACTACATCGTATTTATGATCTCAAATTATTTGTTATATAGTAGTGTTGAAAGTAACCAGGATAAAGATAATTTTACACAGAATACATTACAACAATGCGACTCATAAACAATACTCCAATCCGGATTTTACATGAACCTATTGATATGTACAATGTTCAATGTACCATGTATAATGTACAATGTGTTGGAGTGTGGGGTAAACAGTTACTCACACTCACGGATCCAGTACTGTTGTTAGATTCTTTAACTTTTCCCGCTTTTTGTTTCCTCTGTAGACAAGCGGTAAAAGCGCATCCTAGTGCATGAGATAACCTCTCTCCCTGGAGGAATACTAGGTGAGAACGTGAGAGGCAAATCTTCCTTCCTTAGAACGGAGAAGTTATGAAATACAATTTGGGGTCAGCTGCTGATTTTTCGGGAACTCACCAAGTTCAGCTGCGAGTTTTGTCATTTTAGTAAATGTAATTAGAAACACACATCTTAACTTATGTGTTATAAATAGTTATAAATACTAATAGTTATAAATCATTACAAATAGTTACATTAACAATATAAACAGCCAACTAACAGGGACATCAGTAGCGTAGAAACCATAACAAAGCCACCGTCTGCACGGACCATCCCGGGCAATGTACGAGAACAGTTTAGGATTAAGGGAGTCTGGTGCGCAGAAAGATATTTTCTCTATCGGCTGATCCAACACTAGCACCTGGTATATTATGATATGGTCATTAAATAATTATCAGTCTTGAGTCTTGAGGGACTCTATTTCAATGTGGACTGTTTAGAATGTTAGAATTGGGATCCAGGGTTTGAAAGACTGGTTTTCTTCTATCTACACACGGGTTCGTATTGACAGATTTAGTTACGAAATTTATTGGCGGTAACTAGCGGAAATTTCGGACAACTAGCGCGAGCGGGAAGACGGTATGTTCGTACCTAGCTCATTGCTTCCGGAAACTAATACAGCGGTCTATTGATGTAAAATTACTGAATTGTAATTCGTAGTGGGAATTTCATCAGAGATTAACAAAAAAAAACAAAGAATAATCACCTGATTACATTCATGCTATTATTAGTAAATTTTATAACAGGATCAACTAAAGATGAGCCCTGAGGAAAGCCGCACATATTTATCGTATTTTATCATGGAAAATTTCGGGGGCTCTACTTTAACCGGATAATATTGTAACAAGATACGATAAAATACTGCCACTTTGGCAGGAGATGCTATCCATCATAGAAGGATTATATATACAAATATATATTATAATATAATATGTGTATAATATTTTAGTCTGCATGCAGATTATTAATTGCACGTACTAAAGTGCGCGCGATAAATCAGTACGTGCGCGTAACAGAGTCAAGAATTTTAAACTTAGCGCGCTCCAGATAGTTTTACATTCCAGTATCACGCCGAGTATTATATATATATATAGTAGAGGGTGTATTCTCGGTTTTGCGGCGGATGTAAATCTTGCCCCCCCCCGGGCTCCCCCCCCCCTCCCCCGGGCTCCCCCCCGCCCCCATGACCATCTTGTTATTTGCCGATTATTGAGCTACTACCAGTATTATTCTACCTTATTCTGACTTAAGCTGTTAAAAACTATGATTGAAATCAATTTTAAAGGATTGAGCAATTGGCTGCGTTACTAATTTCTGACTTAATCAACTTAATCAATTAATTAATAAAATGGTTGCCGAGTATCTGACCCTTTTAGAGTGGTTTAGTATATGCGTTTGGTATATTACAATAGTTGCTATGAAGGTAAACCAATAATATTAGATCGTAAAGGAAACCATGCCCCATGGCCATCTTAAGACGTTTTAGGGTTTAAACTAAAATTGCGGCACAGCTTGCCCCCATTTGTGGCAAACTTGTCTCCAGCCGTTTTAGAGCGGTTCAGTGCATGTGTATAGATGGGGGCAAGCTCGCTACAAAAAGAGGGGACAAGAAATGGGGGCACGCCACAAATCTTGAGAATACATTGCCTCTAGTTTATCACCATTTAATAAATCCTACTAACTATCTACTCATTCATCTACTAACCACCACATTCTGTTAGCTATTACACAGAGGCCTAACTAAAACGAGCACTCTAGAAGAAATACAGCGTACTGAATAGTGTACACACACACACACACACACGCACACAAGCCTAATACATTTGGCAAACGTACAACAGTGATTTTATTCCCTCGAATTAGACACACGACACAGTATATTATAAATATATATATTATTAGTGTTATTTCTAAGCTAATCAACTTATTAACTTCAAATACAATTAAAGCGATTAAGCATTATTGTTGTTGACCCGGTAAATATCATTCACAATAACGGTCCTGGTAATGTGAGAGTTAAGTTCATTTCCGTTCATTATCAGTTCATGCAAACATGTATATTTCACGATATTTCACGATATTTCACGATATTTCCTGGTTTTACGAGACAATTATCCATTTTAAGAGGCGCATTTCTGTAAGTGTTACAGTAGACAGCTGGTTCGGGCTGTTGTGTCTAAATATGGTATGAGCCGATAAGAGCCGAAAGCAAAATTATAAAAACAGACACGTTGAATTGCAATTGTCGGACAGACCTATCGATTAAATACCGATCAAGATGGTCCCATGTTGGGAGGCATATAGATCATCACCTACTGACGTGCTGGCGACGTTATTATAGATTATATATTCTGAAGAGTCCACCTCACCGCCTTCGATTACGAGATTAATGAATTCTTCGCACGCAAGCCATGAATTTGCTGGCCACCATCTAATTCGTTCCCATCTCATTAGTGCTAGATTGCATAATGTCCGCCGTCTCGCTACTAGTCTCTTGTCACATTATAATTTGAAATAGTTTTATGTCTCAGAGTTTTTAAGACAGATGGCTGAAATTCTGAATAGGTTGTATTTGTGATAAGATATTAATATTATGGATATAATATGAAGGGATTATTATGATATTATGTTGAACATGCGAGATTTTTGAATAAACTTCTGGATTTTAAAGGCACATGCTTGATTCTTCATTACGGATTCATTCAATTCTGTGGAAATGAAGCTTAAGTAATAGCTGCATGCAGATAAAAATATGACAATTTCATAGAATAAATATTAGAGATGATAATATGTTAAGTTATGGATATTCATTAAGCTTTTATATCAAGCATTTTTGTATATTTTCCTTTCGATTTACGATAGAAGAATTGACAAAAGAATCTCGGCTCCATCTTGGTAATCTCTTTAGTTCCATGGTATTTATCGCAATGATAACAGTAAATTCCAGAAAAGTTGACGAAGTTAACTCGCCCTATTTTCAATATAATCCAAACTACGTCAATAAAGTTAACTCGCCCTATTTTCAATATAATCCAAACTACGTCACTAAAACTATGACGCAACTCATCCTCTGCAGAACATAATGTTTACTTTAGAAATGTTATCTCTGCAATTAAACGTCATCACCCACCACCGGATGATGTAATGATTCCCGGACATAATGTTTAACATGGTCCCTTCTAAATATGAGGTAATCAGCGTGTACATTGTACATTGTACATTGTACATTTAACAAGACAGTGGAACTTAGGATGACATACAATCAGACAATCTGCTAATTCACGCCACTCCTGGTAGATAATATCTACTACACTGGATAATATCTACTTCTACTACACTAGATAATATCTACTACACTGGATAATATCTATTACACTGGATGATATCTACTACACTGGATAATAGCTACTACACTGGATAATACTAGATAATATCTACTACACTGGATAATATCTACTTCTACTACACTAGATAATATCTACTACACTAGATAATATCTACTACACTGGATAATACTAGATAATATCTACTACACTGGATAATATCTACTATACTGGATAATATCTACTACACTAGATAATATCTACTACACTGGATAATACTAGATAATATCTACTATACTGGATAATATCTACTACACTGGATAATATCTACTACACTGGATAATATCTACTACACTAGATAATATCTACTACACTGGATACACTGGATAATATCTACTATACTGGATAATATCTACTACACTAGATAATATCTACTACACTGGATAATATCTACTACACTGGATAATACTAGGTAATATCTACTATACTGGATAATATCTACTACACTGGATAATATCTACTACACTGGATAATATCTACTACACTAGATAATATCTACTACACTGGATAATATCTACTACACTGGATAATATCTACTACACTAGATAATATCTACTACACTGGATAATATCTACTACACTGGATAATACTAGATAATATCTACTATACTGGATAATATCTACTACACTGGATAATATCTACTTCTACTACACTGGATAATATCTACTACATTGGATAATATCTACTACACTGGATAATACTAGATAATATCTACTACACTGGATAATATCTAGTACACTGGATAATACTAGATAATATCTACTACACTGGATAATATCTACTACACTGGATAGTGGATAATATCTACTACACTGGATAATATCTACTACACTGGATAATATCTATTACACTGGATCTACTACTACTTAAAGGGCCATAGGAACGGTATTGTATGTACATATTAAATTCCTGCCTGTATAGACTATACGACTTATAGTGTATTTTCTGATGTAGCACTGACTTTCAGAGATAATATATCAATATTATAAGTGTTTAAATAATAACAACTATCAGAATCAACCGCATACTAAAGATTTATTCGAATAATAAAAGATCAGCTATTATCATAAAAATATGAACATATTATATCGTATGATATTATTATGCGATGATGTACATTGAGTATAATATTGAAATGGACCAACTGGAGCTGAGCCTACACAGCTATCTTAGATAATATAGCTAGTACTAAGAGCATGATCTTAACTTGACTGATAAGTACCCTAACACTTAAACCTTATTTTATGATGATAACTCGATAAAAGATGTATAGAAATGTATACAAATATTGGAATGCATTACATCAATTTGAAAACCCATATAATACATTATAAATATTTATATCTAGGCAAGAGTGTTGGTTTTCAGCGTATACAATGTACCGTATACACTATACAGTATACATTGGAAAACACTACATTGCAATATGTAGGTAACAGTATACTGAAACGTGTATAATAGATTGAACCTAATTTCTATGTACTATATAATATTCTATATATTCTATACAATACACGCAGCCCAGTATAATTGATATATATACTCGTACTAGAGCGTAGCTTTAACCTCTGTAACTGTCACATAAACTATTACTGAACATGTTAAATGCACTTTTAAACGCGTGATCATAACATCTCGAACCTTCCAGATCATCAACCTAACTGTAATAACATAAGACTATATTTAACCTATAATATTATATAAGACTTACGTCTCACGTGTTTATCGTATATTGCAGTGAAACTATCGGACTACGATGAATGGGGAGTTGCCACCCCATGGCAACATCAAAATATATCGACTATGTTACATCGCTTCCTCAATAAATGTATTTAATTGTAGTTGTGAAAATAGTTTATAACTATTTATCTTACATGTTTATCGTATATAATATGCGATTGATAATGAAGGGTGTTTTATATTTGACTGCATATCGTTAAGTTTTAAAATTTGCCAAACATGGAACGAATGAAATGTTTAAACATAATGAAAATTGAAATGTTTAAACATTTAAATAAATATTATTCAAGTTTTTAGTAAGTAGGTAATAGAGTTTATAATAAACATAGTTATAGAGATCACGCAGTTTTTAAGACTATGTTCTGTCCTTGACAACAAATTTGGGACTGTGATGTGAGGCGCTTAGAGTATTAAGGCCACAGGGGGGGGGGGGGGGGGGGGTCCGAGGTCGATTTTGAGATTTTGAGATATGTTGTAGAGCTCGATCTAAATTTTCAAATGCTTTTGTCCTTACCGAAAACAAAGTTTCCTATTTGAAGATATCGCGCGTTGAATTTTGAGGTTTACCTGTAATTCTATTGTAAATAAAAACTTTAAATGAAATCGTGTTCAAAATCTATCTTCTTTTACAGTTTACGACTTAGAACCTTGTAACTTGGCAACAATGTTCGTCAAGGTATTTAGGGTTTTTGTTATGTAACGATTTTTGATATCTTGCTCCAAAGCTGAGATATGAGGTTAACCTTAAAATGGTTAACCTCATAAAAAGAGTTAGGAGCAAAATTACAAAAATCGTTACATAACAAATTATCAAATTTATGTCAGGAACATAAGTTCCAAATTTGAGGTGAAAAGGATAAAAGCTTTAGGAGAAGATAGGTTTTTGAGGTGGTAAATAAATTGTTCAGGAGAGCCAAAAGACTGATTCTGAGAAAATATGTTAACCTCAATTTTCCAACAAAATAAAGGGCATAAAATAGTTCTGTTCACATTGGATGGCTAATTGATACCTATTGATAAGTTTAACTTGTGATGAGAGCAACAAAATGTTAAGAACTGGTTATTAAGTTATTAATGAAGTTAACTGATAAAAAAGGCAATAGTTAGTTTTCTACCTCGGACCCCCCCCCCCCCCCTGTGGCCTTAAGTATGTAATATTGCCTTCCTCATGATCATACAAACAACTGCACCCCGTATTTTAATATAGTCCAGTAACGGAATATAGTCCCGTATTTTACACAGAAATGTATCGTGTAACGGAGGAATATATAAGTTTCAGTTCCCTATAATATAAGCGTGTATCTAACACTGAATAGCTAATAGTGGACCTGTTCAACTTTTCATATAGTTAAAGTTAAATCACACCTGACACCATATTACAGCCTGCGCCAACTCTTTGGCCAGCACAATATTGAATAGTAAACATAACATAACATTTAAACATAACTTGAAATAATATTTTACATAGTTGAATTTTTCAGACGCTATCCTCATAATGTGTCATACACGAACACGTTATACACGACACCCGTATAACTGTACATAATATATTCATTATTCACCTGTATAATATATTCTTCATAAATTATGTTCGGGTAAAATTGTCGAGTAAAATAGCGTCGGGTATTATACACAAGTTGACACATTGGTCACCAAGCAACAAGAATCATTAATAAGTTGGGGGTCACGTGTAGGAAGTTAAGGTATGAAGCAATTAAGATAACTAGCAGGGAACCCGTCTAAAGTGGTGTTTAGACTCAAGAGACTAAAAAAATTATTACCTACTTAATTCGTGTTTTTGACACCACTTACCATATTTTGGGCACTAAAATTATTATTCCTTGGCCAATTTTTTATTTTTTCATGCTGATTTGAAGGCTATTAGAGCATTTTAACCAGTCAAAAAAGTTTAAGTTGTATATCTTTTACGGTTTTTGCGGAAAGTCGTGTTAAAGTTGATGTCGTGGTGTCAGTAAAATGGTACGGATATATATCGTCTCGCTTTATATATAGTAAGATATTAGAATTATTACAGCCCCAACACACACTGCTCCCATAATAAAGATTATTATTATCTGAACTCACTTGCGCGCGTAATATTATGGTATTAATTATATTACTTATAACGTGGTGTTTAACATTTAAGAAAATACCATAGTGTCACGGGGCTTCCAAGCGACAATTTATACGTCCATAGTCTGTAGAGGACATAAAAGAGGTTGAACTAAAAACAAATAGTTAAAAATGGGACAGGTTGTTGTTTACAGTATTTTATAAATGTCCTTAACTCCTTACTATTAACGGAGATAATGACATGGTTTGTAGATGTAGCGTCTAGTTTTTATTTCAAAATTCAAATAAACTTTACATCAATGTATATTACAGTTATATTTAGAAAAGACCACAATATCTCCTGTGAGGCAAAAACATGGAAAAAATGAGAGCTAGATAAATATTCCTGAGACTCAACACTACCAGACTGCAGCTGGAGTGAGAAACATTATAATATATATATTATGTAAACATTAGTGTAAGTAAACAGGACAATAGAAGAGATTAGTAAAAGACACAGATGTTCCCAGGTGTTTAATCATTGTATGCAACACAGTAACATAAACCTCTTTAAGTTGCATAATTTACACATATTATTATATAGTGTCAAATGCCTCCACAGTGCCACCAAAGCTTCTTCGCGAATCGCCACCGTAAAAACAACATCATGTAGAACGAGGAGAAAGTATTAAAACTAGAAAAATAGGTGAAAAGAAACTGCAACTTACCCTACTTAGTACTTACAGCACCTTACCCAAACTGACTGTAACTAACAGCAACTTACTGTAATTAATGTAACTTAATTTAACTTAGTTTAACTTACCCTACTTATATCGTCAACTACACGTACACCATCCATTGAGATAGAGAGAGACATCTTCTTCTTCTGAAATAGTAAACACGTGTTACTATCCGGTGTTAGACGTTATAAGGTATTAATTAGCATTATATAAACATATAATATCACAATAATCTAGGATATTAATTAGCATATATAATAGCATAGAGTATTGAAAAATATGCTTAAATAATCTTGTAGGAGGGTTATCGTCTTCCGAATAAAGGGCATTTATTTAACCGTAGCGATTTTCAATTATATGTGGAGTCAATAAGATTTAAGAAACATAGATCGTGGTCGTATTGTGAGTTGGAGGACAGCATTTATGAAATTATATACCCAAATATGGGCATATTTCCCCAAATTCGATCATTAATCCAAATATCACAACGATGATATTATCTCAATATATTCCCACTATGATACTGCCCACTATTATAACACTGCCATTATATTATATTAATTAATATAACACTAATTAATTAGTGTTTAGATGGTTATCATGCTTTAATACTGAAGTATGTTTGGTCCACAACCTCAACTTCCAGACCATATCCGCCAGTTAAAAATGATTAACACTCCATTAGCAATTAATTAAACGAATAAATCGCTGATAACAAACTGGTTTTAAAAATCAATGAACGTTTGTAAGGTAAGGTAATGTTTGTGTGTGTGTGCAAATTCCTTCTGCATGACTGCATTTTCAAGGAGATTTTTAGAATTTTTGGAATTCTCTGATTCGGAATTTCAGGACTAGAAATGAAATCTTTACTCTTTAGCCGTAAATGTAATTCAAGTTCTGATACCCGGAAATTTCATACAATTTAAACAGCCAACGGTTGATAATTGACCTCATTTCGCATTTTGTATACCAAACACCGGCAAACACAGGTACCTAGATCCCTAAAACATAAAATATGGAATTCGGAAGTTTTTAAAATGTTTTTAACAAAGTTAGCACAGACGAAATGAAGGTAGAAGAGATAGGCTGGTCACATGACGGGTCACATGACGTGTGAGCAAGTACAGTGTACACCTTATCTCCTGGAGTCCTGGTCACATGATTTAAAGAAGATTAGAAACCCCCCACACTTTTTATTTGTTCCTTCTTTTTTCCTATAGAACCCGTCCCCAACCTTTTATTTGAAAATGACCCAACTCAATACTGAGTGTGAATACGGGCGGTACTTAGCGGCACTCTACATGCGGTACCAGACATAGCGGCACCCTACATTTCACATATAATACTACAGTCTACCATACTAACAGTATATTTCACGCACATTTGAAGATAACCAAACAGCACCCTCTACATATCACGTATATTTGAAGATAACCCAAATACCACTCAGCTAGCACAGTTTCAGTGTACCAGGTATTTTGGTAATGACTGATTTTATGTCTCATCATATTGTAGCAATTAGCAGATCACAAGATAGAAAATTACGTGTTATAATTGGATCATGCCCAAACACGCCCAGGAAACACAGAATCTAAAATATAGAACTAAGCTGCCTGATAATTCCCATAATTGAATATCTACGTTTTCCGGCATTCTAACACGACTAGTGTTACACAGTTGGAAAGTTGCCACGGCTACAACTAGACAGTCGTGGGTATTTATCTTGGAACCAAAATAGAACCTAGAATAATGAGTTCAGATTAGATAATATCTAATCTAACATTGAATTATAAACGTCTCATATTCTGCCTGTTGAATTGGAAGTCAAGCGTTCATCAATACCCCTGTACCAGGGTAGCAACTCAGAGGCAACTCAACTTGCGTGAAAACTGGTTAAATGTATAACTATTAACTATACATTATACAATTATAGTAGTAGCGGTATAGTAGTAGTAGTAGTACAGTGGTATATAATTAGTAGTAGTAGTGGTATATTAGTAGTAGTATTAGTGGTATAGTAGTAGTAGTAGTAGTGGTATTGTAGTAGTAGTAGCAGTATATTAGTAGTAGCAGTGGTACTAGTAAATGTGTTCAAGTAATTGACCTTGGTGTTCACGGAAATTTAAAAGCTTGGAACTAAGCCAATGTCCTTTAAACTTCGAGCCAGCAACATATAGCAAGAACATATTAAAACGTTTTAACCTTGTAACTGGAGGTTAACTGATGGTCACCACTTCAACTAGTTAATGTGAAATATAGTACTCAATACTCAATAGGGGGGCCGGGGGGGGGGGGGGGGGGGGGGGGGGGTGGGGGGGAGTAGTACAACTAATTACTATATTGTATTTATGTAACTATTCAGGTTTAATTAAGCCGCTCGGAAATTACACGCAGACAGACAGACAGACAGACAGACAGACAGACAGACAGACAGACAGACATACAGACAGACAGACAGACAGACAGACAGACAGACAGACAGACAGACAGACAGACAGACAGACAGACAGACAGACATACAGACAGACAGGCAGACAGGCAGACAGACAGACAGACAGACAGACAGACAGACAGACAGACAGACAGACAGACAGACAGACAGACAGACAGACAGACAGACAGACAGACAGACAGACAGACAGACAGACAGACAGACAGACAGACAGACATTCTGAGATTATTGTTTAATTAAACTAATTTTGGCAAGATGCCACACTTTTACCTATTATGTTCCTTTACATTCACTGCATGTTGCGCAACTTTCAAACTTATAGGCAGTGACATAAAATAGGAACATATTCTAACATTTTTAACCATGAAACTTAACAACTATCCACCCCATTGCACTGTAACTAGCGTTAAAGACATTGACATAATAGTATGTCACATGTTATGATAATCTGTCACGTGGGTAGTCACGTGGGTAGTCATGGTAACTGTGTTACCCTGGTGGGACACAGAGATATAAGCCGAGTAAGTTACTAGTGTTGTGTTTTACAACTTATGATACAGACTATTGTACGTACTGCAACTGTAGCGAACACTGGATTAAATTATCATAATTACTGTTAAAGAATGTGTAACTTACTTTTGAAGAGAACAGAATTCGATTATTTTTAATATGTTATTATAATTTCCACTTAAGACGTCGTTAATTGTCATCACACTGAACAGTTCAAAAGGAAATTTCACAATTTGACTATCCAATTTACGGGAACTCACATTTATATTGATAGTTATCTAACGAAGGAGCTCTTGCAGGTACCACCCGTATTCACACTCGAACTGAGTTTAGTAATTTTCGAGATTGGGGACGGGTTCTATTAACAAACAAACAAACAAACAACTAAGGAGCTCGCTTTTCAACAACATACCCCGTCTTGAAAACTTGGAATACTGCCAAGATTTAAAACACAATGTGTATCAACCTTGGAGCAGTTCAGATTCTCAGAATACTCAACAGTTAATTCTACACTCTTGATCCAGACTTTTGGTAATCTAGGTAAACTCATTATCAAGTCTCGCCACTCAACACAGCATTGCCAATTAATTATGATGGAAGACTGGAATTTACACCCCTCTTCCCGTTTTCTGGGTAATGTGACTGTGGTGCAGTAAAGGATACTCTTTGAGTCTAAGGAATATTCAGGCTTTGGTAATGTGCTGTCAACAGTGTCGTAGTTTTTGTTTGAAACAAATTTTAGATGTACACGAATTTTTCTGCAGAAGTAACAGTAGAATTGTTTTCCCTACTCTTGCCGAAGGCAAAAAGATCGTAGGGAATAAGTAATCGGGTTTGGATATATATATGAGGTGGCCCGACGGCCCTACGTTGATGAAAAAAGTCTGCTCCTTCGCAATATAGACCACTCCCCTATAATTATGTGTATAGGAAGCGTCTGTTATGCTGCGCGCGACGCTAGCCATGTGTTAATTAATAACAGTGAAGTTCCTCCTTCGCAAAGTTATTTTCCGCAATTTTCTGGATTCATTTATTGTTGATGCGCGGCGCTACATTGTTCAAATAAATCGTAAATTTTTACCATGCGCAAATCCCACTCATTTATTAAAAACATAGCATGTAAATATGTTGCACTTTTTTCCAGTCAAACTTTTCACTCGAAAGAATTAATGGTACAACTAGTAGTACAAGTACATCGTAGGGAAAATTGATCGTGCGTGGTTTAACCGCGGCGAAATTATTGTTTTCTTTACAGATAAGACGCCTCAACTTCAAAGTGACTTTCTGCAGAAACGAAACTCATTAGACTGCAAAGTTGTATTGAAAATGTGCAGTAAGTCTATGAAACACTTATAACTCCCCATAAAAAGATGCACATTTCTTACAGCGAGTGTGCAATACTGCAGAAATCGAAGACTCTACTATTGCTTTTGCTTTTTGTTAGCGAAAGGAGTGAACCGCAGAAATAAAACTGATATTTGAGTAAAACTGACAGGGAATCTCTAAATTGGTAATAGGAACAATATGGCCATCTGGGATATTCTTGCAACCCTTTCTTTGGAGAAAAAATCAATATAATCATAGAGCGGCATCTTTTGTCTATTTCACCGGCTGACATACATGATTTCCTTAGAAGATTGTGTTTTACATGCTCCAGAATACTATACTCATCGTTCCCTTTTAAAAGTAGAGGTCGGGCCACAATGTAGCACTTTACTCCTTCATAATATTTAATAGTAAGATAGCTAGAAGTCTTGAGAGTACCCAGAAACTTCCGGCTGGGGTGTATCAGTGCATTGTATCAGTACATTGTATCAGTGCATTTTATCAGTGCATTGTATCAGTGCATTTTATCAGTGCATTGTATCAGTGCATTTTATCAGTGCATTGTATCAGTACATCGTTTCAGTGCATTGTATCAGTGTATTGTATCAGTACATTGTATCAGTGCATTTTATCAGTACATTGTATCAGTGCATTTTATCAGTGCATTGTATCAGTACATCGTTTCAGTACATTGTATCAGTGCATTGTATCAGTACATCGTTTCAGTGCATTGTATCAGTGCATTGTATCAGTGCATTGTATCAGTGGACATGTTCAAACCTGGTTGGTGGTTTTGTTTCACTGCCAAAATGGGCAATTTTCTCATTTTTACAATAACTCCATTAATAATTACTCGAT